TGAGAGCAGAAGTCTGGAAAATAAGTCAATCAAACAGACCCATAAAGAGACCCATAAGAAGAATGAAGACTGGATCCTTACGGTGAGGCGGTCAAATATTTCATCGCCTTCCCTCTTGGGCGGCTTCTTAAAGATCTTGAGGTTTTTGAAGACCTGCGGGTCCACTTCCACCTCGTCATAGAACCGAATGCTATCTTTACCCAAAAAGTCGAAAATAACCGTATTTGGAGGCTTAAGGGTGACATGCTCGAATTTAAGCGAGCAGCATCCAACTGTGTCGGCCTCGTCTTCGCCTTTTTCGTTTCCAGCACGAAGAGCGAACTGATCAATAAGGTAGACGGCAGTGGCTTTCTGCCGCTCCGACATGAGTTCGTGTTTCAGGCCTTTCTTGTAATCTTTACGGATCCGATCAATGTGTTTCTAAATAGATGTTAGTAGGAGGCAAAATGCCGAATCAAGAAAAGGATTTTCGATAAGCGTACCTTGAGTTCCCTAGCCTTTTCAAACTTCTTGTAATCACTCAGTCCTTTGATATCTGAATTAGCAGCAAGCATGACATATTTGTAGTTGCCGTTGACATTTTCCTGCCACATAGCTAACCAAGTCCCCTCCTGATCGTGTTTAATTTCCTTCCATTTGTGACCGGGAGGAGGTACCGGGACTTTGGCCTCTTTGCCAATGTTGATGGTGATTTGCTCTGGCATGACCCTAGTCTTCACTTTACCAGTTTTTGGATGTTCGCCACGGCCGCGAAATAGAGCGGGAGGCTCAACGCGGAAATTGCCAACTTTCTGCTTCCTTCCGTCCCACATACAATACATGTATGGAGCTTCAAGTTCATCTTTTTCGGCCTTGAGTCGTTTCTTCTCCGCAGACGGGAGGCTCTTTTTCTCCAAACGTGCTGCCTCATAGTACTCGAAGATTGGTTTAAAATCACACTTCTCAAATGACTTGACGGCTACTGGGTTTCCATTCGGGTCCTTTGCACCGCCAGAATTCTTAATGTAGGCAGTGAAGTCAGTGAAGAAGTTTTTCTGGAATGTTGGGTTCTCAACATTGTGGGTGGAGTTAAGCATGGAGCCGAAAAATCCAGCGACTTCTTCAGCTTCGGGGGCGAGTGTGATTGGAATGCCGTCGTATTTCATCTTGACATGTTTAGGGAGTGGCTCGTATGGAGGAGGGAATATGACACCATTATGTTCCAAAGTTGTCCATTTGATAGTGCCATCGCCTTTGGCGGGATCTTCCCACCAGCGATATTCCTCCTCTGCATCTTCCGCCTCGAGTTCTTCGCTCGACTCATTTTTCACTGCAGCCTTGGCTTTCGTTTTCTTTGTATCTGCAGGCTCAGCTTTTACAGCTTTTGATGTCTTCTTGGCAGGCACTTTTCGGGCCAGCGGAATATCTTCATCGCTGGACTCCGATATCTTAATGCCATTTACAAGAGCTTTCCTGCCCTTTCCACGTTTGTCCGTAGTAGTAGCCTTGGCTGGAGTCTTTTTCTTTGCTGCAATTTCAGCGCTTTCTTGTTTGCGAATAGCTTTCGCTTCCTTCCCGGCCCGCTCTTCTATCCTACTCTTCTCCGCCATTAGATCTTTCCCAAGGGAACCATCCGTGGCAGACTGTGATACGGTGACTGCTTTTGCTTTCCCTTTAGCCAGCTTAGATATGATAGGGGCGTCGTCAGGGTCGGAGTCATCCATTTTCTGCTGCGCTGAGACGCGGCGGCGCTTGCTCTAACGGAAAGTCAGCCGTTGGGTTGCTTATAAGACATATAACTTCCGACGCAGTTTTTGAAGGGGGTTGGGTAGTCGTGAGAACAGTGGTGTGCTAAAAAAAAACATGGCGTACCAATGGCTTATCCTCCTCACTGCTCTCAGGTTCCGCATACGACTTCCGGATCATATCGCTTCCTCTTGATTTTCGCTTGCTTAGGCCTGCCCCATTCACTTCGGCGTCATGCATCTCGGCATCCTGGGGGTCGACTGGCCCATGGCGAATGGTCAATCCGGGGTTCGCGTATCCATTCACCTTCGGGGATGCGCTAACAGACGGATCAGTGGACTTCGAAATCAGCTCATCTGAGAGCGCAAATGTTGCTGAACAGCTATGCCATCAGTTCAAGCCCCGGAAAAACACGAGCTGGCGCATCGCAATGATGTAATTTGATAATATGCGGTTGCTTCAAAAGTGAAATAAGAAAATTTGGCAGCAAAATGGCACCATGCCTGAAGGCAAGACTACTCTGTGCACGAGAGAAAACTTACCCTTGGAGTGTCCGTTAGATTTTCGCTTGCCAACAAGGGGCACATCATCATCTGAGGAGTTCATGACCCGCAGCTGAGCCGCGTATGAGGTCTGTTGGCGAGTCAAACAGATGCGTGTGCGAGAGAAATTCGAGGGCAAAAAAGAGACACGTAGATGACGGTGGAGGGAAAAGGCCCCGAACACGGAGGGTAGGGGGCGAGCAATGGTGAAGTGAAAGGGATGGCTGGTCTGCAAGGACAGAGGAGGCGGGGGAAAGAGAGAGAGGTGAATCTCGAGGGCGTTTTCGAAGCTGAAACAACGTGATAAAACAGAGAAAAAGACAAAAAGAGGCGAGAATCTGGAGGACAGATGAAGTTTAAGAGGCTGAGGGCGCTGGGCGCTGATTGGCTGCCAATGTGCTTCAGGCCAAGCTCACACTAGACTTCTTTAATCCTAGTGGCTTCCTCCTTCCGATGCTCCAATTTGGGCAGTTCACCCATCTCTGGCCCGGCGTCTGCTCAAGTGTTGCACCCAACATCGTCTATATCTATCCTCGATTGCCAGGACTCCAACCTGTCCGACTACTCCTATTCCCGCAATGCTCTCTCGAAACGCTCGTCCAGCTATCCTGGCTGGCAGTGCATTTCTTGCACGGTAAGATTATTTTTGCCCACGTTCCACCCCCCATCCTCCCAATTGACTCGACCAATGTCATAGATATTGGAGCGTGGATATCACGGAATCGCATATTGACACTGAGATAATGATGGGACTACTGGCTGACACTGCACTTTCATACAGGAGTGCCGCCCCTGCCAATGCCGCAAATTTCGCGACACTCCGTGAAATTGAAGGCCGGTTGAAGTCCATCAAGAACATCGAAAAAATCACAAAAACCATGAAGATTGTTGCTTCCACCCGTCTTAACAAAGCCCAGAGAGCCATGACTGATTCGCGGGCATACGGCCAAACATCCAATGCCGTATTCGAGAACGCGGAAACCAAATCGCTGGAGGGCAAGAAGACCCTATTTGTCGTGGCCAGTTCGGATAAGGGTCTGTGCGGAGGCATCCACTCCGGCTTGAGCAAAGCTACAAGAAGGATGGTTATCGAACAGCCTGATGCCGATGTTGTTGTTCTCGGCGAGAAGGCCAAGGCCCAGCTCAGTAGGACCAACGAAAAAAACCTGATTTTGAGCTTCGCCAATGTCGGGAAGGATCTCCCAACTTTCGCTGAAGCTCAGGCCATTGCGGACCAGATCACCCAGCTGCCAACCGACTATGCCAGCGTTAAGATAATCTACAACAAATTTGTCAATGCTCAGTCCTACGAGCCCGTTGTTGTCGAAGCCTACTCGGAAGAGGCTATTACCCAATCCCGTAAGCCTGATCTAGCTTACCCACGCCACAGGCAAACACAGAATTGAAAATGGAAAATTGAAAATAGTTTTCCTTTACTAACTTCTAATGCAGCAAACCTCTCGGCTTTCGAGGTTGAAAATGAAGTTCTCGCCAATCTCAGGGAGTATGCTCTTGCAAACAGCTTGTACTGGGCTCTTGCCGAAGGTCATGCATGCGAGATCTCTGTAAGTAAATGAGTGAACTCCGTGATTCTTCCGCTGAATGATCGCAATCTACTAACTTGTGCAACTATTTAGGCTCGCCGCAATGCTATGGACGTATGTGTTGGCACTTTTATTCCATCTTTTGCGTTTGTTTCCTGCTTGTAAAGTTCGCAAAGTCTAACTTCACTTGAACACTACAGAACGCATCCAAGAACGCTTGGGAAATGATTCAAAAGTAAGTTGGAAGCATTTTCCTTACTATTTGATTTGATCCCTTTATTTGCTCAATTCTCAACTCTTTCCCTAACCGCCTTCTTGGTTTTCACCGACAACAGGTTCCAGATTCTCTACAACCGACAGCGTCAAGCCGCTATTACCGGTGAACTGGTTGAAATTATCACCGGTGCCACTGCCAGTGAGGATATGTAAAAAAAGCAGATCGACACAACTCGGGGGGTCGAGAATGGATTGGATTGGACACGAAAATAGAGAAAGGATAACAAGAAATGCCAGGGCTTTCTTGGTCCCTTCTTAATATGTAGATTTCTTTTTCTTTTCCATCAACACACCGCCACAGTACTGCTGGTATTTAGAAATCCTTTGTTGAAAACTTGTAAAATCAACTCTGTTATTACTTTTCATCGTCTCCTAATACATATATTGTCATCTCGCTTCCCAGATGGTTTAAATTCCAAGTCGTATATGAATAAATACATCATATTTTCCTCGGCCCATACGCATACCCAAATGATCCCCCATGACATTCCTTGCCTCCTATTCGCCAAAGTTGTTTGCCGATCAACATATTCATCTGCTGTTCGCTTACCATACATGCATGCACTTCAAACCGGAATGAGGAGGTAGCCAATCTTTCCAAAACGCCATACCCTATCCATCTGAGATGAAAGTTAAATAAACTAGATAAATATTAACATAGAGGATTGTGATCGCTAGGATATGTCAGAAATTTCAGGGGAGCCATGCAACATGTTTACTCAAGTTAATGACTCACAATTCAGATTCATAGGTATCGGAAAGGTCATGGAAGCTTACTTTCCCAAATCAAGATCCGATACACTTATTTTATTGTCTGGGCATTTTTCTGGTAGCAATAGTTTCTAAGGAAAATGGAAGGAGCCGGGGTCTGATATCAAATAAACCCGCCACGCCCATCGCTTCAAAATGCAGCCTCTTCCATGAAGGCTTCAAACCAAGTCTCCAGAAACTGGATGCCATGCCCGTGTTCAAGATTAAAAAGTCACATTAAAGGATGGTGTCCAAGTTGGATGTTACACATATGGACGGCTGTTTATTCATATCTATTTAGCCATTCGAGACACCGTCAAGTCCAACCGATGCCGGATGCCGTATTGTGGAGAAACCGACAAAATTGGAGGCATGATCATATACGTAAATTTTGGTGTTATTGATAGTCCAGCTATAAGGTTGATAATCTTATCGCGCCAGCGGGGCAAAACTCTCATCGATCGAAGCGTAAGATAACAAGTTCCTGCATGTCATTTTCCCCAATGATAATCCGCTCATCTCCCTGAATAAACCCCTTAAAAGCAATCTCGTGTAATAAGCGGGGCTCAAGTACGGAATATCTGTTATCCGAGTGTGGTGCCTGGATTTTGAGCTGTAGGTGCTGGGCACTCTTGCAATCTTCGTGGTTCAGGATGGAAGTTTGCAGACTAAAAATAACTTGCGCTTCTTCATCAATAACTTCGGAAATAGTTGCGGGCCAAAGATAGGATCCTCGGAGGAAAGGGCGATTGTACATGCTCGTATTGCCACGGTATGGAGGAATGGGGAATTTGAGGGCCCTTCGCCAGATTGGACCATGGCTGAGGAAAGGGATGCTGGTGATTTGGGCAGAGGGGTAGGAAGACGTATTGATAGGATCTATTTCGCAACCAGGACCTGTACATTCCGTGATGTCCAGTACATTAGTTTCACTATTGATGTCCAACCTTATCATTTTGGGTGCTCCGCGTTGTCGAACAGAGTAAAAATCCAAGTCTCTAAAGTTAAACTTCGCCACTACAAAGGGGCATGAGGAACTGGGTTTGTGAAGGCTTGAAGGATCTGCTGACGGTTTGTAATCCGACGGTTCTGATATGTTCCATACAAACAAGGATTCAATAGGTGCATCCTCGTCGGCAGTGTATAAACTCCGGTTTGGTTGCCAAGTATATAAAACATAATGAGTTTCATTATGTGAGGAATAGAATCTATCCCGATCGCTCAAGGGGTGCCCAAGGAACATGATCTTCCACTCGTTCCGAAAGGTAACGTCCCACCCAACACTTGGGGATACAGCAGAAATATCGAATGATGAAGCGAAATGACGATGGACACTATCCAGGGAATTCAACCAATGGAATGCATCAGCCTCGGCCCATTCGATGACAAGCAATCGATGCTGAAGACGTATTCTCCGTATCACTCTGTGGACTATGTCAAAAGGCACTGGAAAAGTTTTGCTTGTTTCCAGGTCCAGCAAGAGGATACACATATCGTCGTAGGAGACAAATGCAATTAGGCCACCCTCGTAAGTCCAAAAACAATCGTCAAAAACCCGATCTGGCTTTGACATTGAATGGCTACTATGGGCTTCCCAGGGCGGTACCGGAAACAACCTTGAACCTGTGCGAATATTTTGCGTGTAGTTAGGCCAGATTTTGTATCTCTCAATGGATTGAGGCCTGCCGACATGAAGATGGAAATACCTGGCTGAGATATTGTCAAATAACTCGCGCCAATAGTTGTCGTGTGGTGGGATTCCATGCTCATTATCCAAGAGTTTCACTTGATGATATCTACGGACCTCCCGAGCGAATGGAAAAGTCCACTTCAAAAATGTATATAGATTGAAGGGATTACCGAATGAGGCATTCCAGGATCTTGAGACGCGACGGCAATAGATAACATCTATGTAACATAGATAACTGAGGATCATTAGAAAGATATCTTGAGGTAACGAGGTTATTTCAAAACCGCGAGGAATAGTTTTGGTGAGGAGCCGCATTTGGTCGGCCTGATGCTTTGTGAATTTAAACCATATAGCAACAATAGGTACCGGCATCGACACGCCCTCTCCTCAATGCTGATATCGCGATTGGAGAGGTGTATATAGGACGCCATATATTGCATAGCGTCGGGGGATGGATCTACTTCCTTTGCCAAACCAGAAAATTAGTCAGCAGAACCTCACGTGGTGATAAGATAAGCTGCCCAATGGCGCAAACTTGGACAGATTGTCGGCTTGGAAGGATTACTAATAGTGCAGAACAAAGAGCATTTGAGTTTCCAGCTCTCTTCCCTTCCCTGTATTCCTTGGTAATGAGTTTTTTTGCATCATTGCGTTTTTAAACTACCTACTCACTGTGTCCTGCTTTTGGCGCTGATTGAGTTGAGCTCCCACCATGTTTAGAAAGAGCTCCGCCATCCTGCTGGTTGCAGCATTTCTAGAGGCATTGCCGGCAAGCGTTGGTGGCTTCTATACCAAAAACTCTCCAGTTCTTCAAGTGGATGAGAGCAATTATGACAACCTGATCGCGAAGTCAAACCATGCTTCAGTAAGTTTTCCTATAGCATCAGAAGTGAATGCAATTGAATTGACCAATCCTCAAGATCGTAGAGTAAGATTCCCACCTCCCTGACGTTTCCCTGAGCTTGTATCTTATTACGTGTACGCGTATTCCAGATTCTACGCTCCATGGTGTGGACATTGCCAGAACCTGAAGCCAGCATACGAAAAAGCGGCCAAGAGTCTTCAAGGACTAGCTAAAGTTGCTGCTGTTAATTGCGATGACGATTCGAACAAACCATTCTGTGGCAGGATGGGAGTCAAAGGGTTTCCTACACTTAAAGTGATAACGCCATCGAAGCACCCAGGAAAACCACTAGTCGAGGATTACCAAGGCGCCAGAACAGCGAAAGCCATAGTTGACTTCGTAGTTGACAGGATACCAAATCATGTCAAACGAATTAAAGATAAAGAACTCGATAGTTGGCTGAAGGAAGCCAATGACACTGCGAAGGCTATCCTATTCACGGAGAAAGGCACTACTAGTGCACTTCTCCGATCGTTGGCTATAGACTATCATGGGTCTATCAGCGTGGCCCAAATTCGTAGCAAAGAGACCGCAGCTGTGGAAATGTTCGGTATCACCAAATTCCCTACACTTGCACTACTTCCCGGTGGAAGCAAGGAAGCTATAATCTACGATGGAGAGATGAAAAGAAACCCCATGTTCGAATTCCTCAACCAAGTAGCCGAGCCTAATCCAGAGCCCGTGCAGGCCAAATCCAAGCAGACCACGAAAGCTGGCAAGGCCACCACCTCCACTTCCACGCCCTCTGATAGCGATGCCACTACTTCATCCACAGCCACCGAATCTCCCGAATCGAGTTCTAAAGATCCATCTTCTACATCACCCAAGCCCCGTCCTATACCCAGTATATTCAGCGACTCAATGCTGAGAGAGTCTTGTCTTGCTCCGAAAACTGGAACTTGTGTCCTCGCACTCGTGGGAGTGCCTGAGGATCTATCGACTGACTCCGTTCCTTCAACGACAGTACTCCAGGCGCTTGGCAGCCTTGCTGAGATTTCCCAGAAACACTCTTTGAGAAAATCACACCTGTTTCCGTTCTACACTGTGCCAAGTAGTTTGAAGGATGTTGATATGTTAAAGACTAAGCTGGATCTCACACGTGACATCGACATTGATGTCATCGCTGTTAATGTCAAACGAGGTTGGTGGCGACGGTATGATGCTGGGGACGATGGCGACTGGAGCGTTGCCAAACTTGAGGCATGGATTGATGCTATTCGTATGGGTGAAGGGACCAAAAGGAAGCTGCCAGAGGGTATGGTACCTGATGAGGAGGAAAAGGGAGGGCCTGAGGACGGAGCCGAGAGAGAACAGAAGAAAGAATCTGGAGAGGAGCCAGAGCAGAAACCTGTCAAGGAAGAGCATACTGGCCACAGTGAGCTGTGATATAATCTTAAACGTTGCATCACAGAGTTGTGTACCTTTGTTCATCCAACTCTTTTTTTGTGTCGCCTTTTTGACCGTTTCCATACTACCCAACTCACCCTTGTTCTTTTTCAGATGTTCGATTAATTGAGACTTATCCTTTGCTGCACCTTTTTTTATTTCCTATCTTGTTTGTATTCAGTTCTCCACCTTATCATTAGCAAGTATTCTCTGCAGCCAATTGATGAGCTCTTGCAGCTATATTTCCTATTACGGCATTTGCTGTCATTTAAAACACTTCTTGAAATCTCTCAGAATGTTGTTGCAAAAGTGGAGACAGCTAGCTGGTGGAAAGGTTAAAAGAAAAGTTTACATTTAATAGTAAACCATCATAAGAAGATCTAGCTGACAGGGATTCTAGAAGAGCACTGTTGTGTGGTGACGAAATTTTTTGTTAAACCAAGATGAAGGATCATCCTACGTGAGAAAGATGCTAACTATATGCATTAATACATGTCGACAATAAGTGAACAATGGAAGAAAAAGGCATAAAATCGCGTCTCTCATTTTTCCCCAATCCGAACAAAAGAAATTCCGCCATTTCACAAAAATAATATATATATATGTATATGTATACCTAAATTTGCAATTGGGAACTTGGCCAAAGCAGGAAGGAAAAAGGGGGTAGAAGAAATCCCATATCTTTCATCTCACTTCTTCCTACCCTCCGTGCCCTTCTTGATCTTCTTCTCCCTTCTACTTTCGATTTCCCGATCGTAAATCTCTCTAGCCGACTCACCAGCCTTGCGCTTCACGGGCTTCGATGACTTGACGCTCACTGTGGGGATATTGCCGTTTTTGCTGAACGAGGAGCGTACTTGCTTCTCTGCATCTTCCCAGGCGGCGGCTCCGTTTGCAATTTCGTACCTGGATCATTTGAAAAGAAAGGTGAGTTAGCCATATATGGTTCACACTAATGGGATAGGATACGTTGATTTTGAGACAGAAAAGCGAGAACGCGGCTAGAAGGGGGGGGGGGGATGATTGTTTTCTTGTTATGGGGAAGATGATAGGAAAGAAACATAGTTGCAACTTACTGGTCGAGTGGTAATGCGTCGATGAGGGCCCGTTGCTTTTCCTTCAGTTCCCTGTTGACCTCTTGTCCACCCTCCCTTAGCTCCTCTTCAAGCCCGACATCCAACGGTCGGAATCGATCATCGATAACTTCATCATCGTGCACTCCAGTGGCATCATTAGGAGAAACGCCAACCTTTGCAACGGGTAATGTCTCAACCACAGCACATTCGACGAGAGTCCTAAAATGGGCAGAGACTTTTCGTGCAATCTTGATAAACATGGCCATCAGCTGTGAAGCGGCTAGTGTAAGTTCCTTCTCGGCATCGTCAAAGGATTTTCGCTGCAAACCAATAGCTAGCAGAATCGACTGTTGTATTCCGGATAGATTCACGCCAAGGCAGCCGGAGAAATAGAAGCCTGCGATCGTGGGCACCATGTCGAGGATAACATGGTAATCGAGGAGATTATTTGCGTAGCTATCCAGGCGCTTTAGATCAAAGGGGGAAAACGCTTTGTCCAAGTCTGCTTTTGTTAGAGTGGAGGGTTTGAAGGATGGGTCGGACTTTGAAACAGCGTTGGCAGATTCACTGATGCTGAGTGATAATATGGATGGGAAATCGCGGAATTGGTATGATAATAGGGAAAGGAAACGTTTGTGGAAGTCCCGTGCATAAGCTCCAAGCCAGCTTGTGTCGTTACTCCCTGTTGCTAGGGTGCGGAGCATGACACAAGAATGCTCACCAGTCAGTTCGTTGGGGGTTTGTCGCAGATACACTGGAATAAAGCGGGATCGTTTCCAAAACTTTAGAAGCGGGGGGGTGAGACCATAGCTAACACCGAGATAGTCGAGAGCATCGGGACGCCGTTCATTAAGCCTCGCAAAGAGAGGTGGCATAGAATGTATATCTCGAATACGAATATTATCATCCAGGAGGCTTGAATTTGCCAATTCTTCGTCTGTTACTCTAACCAATTCGTCGGATGGATAATTATCTTCCTCCGACAGGTTCGAAAATTTGCCTTCGAAGAAATCGGTAAGGAGCTCGAGGGCACGCGAGCCGTATCCCATGCCCAGATAATCTGGATTCGTGGCTATTCGCACAATTCTCGCTCCTGAAAGTCCCGCAAACTCCTCGTCTTGAAACTGTTGACTGACAAGCCAGGGTATTAAGTCTCCCCCAGCGCGTTGTCCACGACTAAGACCATGCAAAACGCTCTCCTTGCTTATCCGACCTTCCAAAGCCACCTGGATGACACAAAGTGGCTCTGGAACTTTGTTAGGATCAGTTGGCGGTACCAGAACGAATAGCTGATGCGCTGGCGCGTCGCTCATGAGTTGAAGGTCATTTGGCGAATTTTTATAATGGCTCGCGACATACAGGGCCATCATCTGCTGCAAAAGCTTTTCGGGAAGCGGATGGAACGAGAACAAAACATCACGGTTAACGTGAAGAAGCTCGCACTGAGATGGGTGAGGGCATCCTTGAGTATTCACTTTGGACTTAGGGAGTGTAACATCAAGGCAGAGAAGTTTGTTCAACCACTTTTCTACGAAATCCCCAGGGGCATATCGGATCGGTTCCGAAAGAGTAATTTCCCGCAGTGACCGGCCTCCCGAGAAATTTTTTTCTCCATGTTTTGCAGACTTTCCCGCTGCCCTGTCAACGATATCGGTATCATCTGCACTCTTAGCACCGCCCCTCGATTGCTCTCGAAGCTGTTGGATTAATTTCAAAGATAGGGATCTGCCTGTGCCTTCATATCCGTTGATGGTGGAGGCCATAAATACCAAATACGGACCCATTAACTTTCGCACCATGGGTAAAGGGATGGCAGCTGCCTCATCAATTACCAAAAGTTCCGCTTGTCCCAGTGCATAAGCATCTTGGGGCTGGATATATTGGATTGTTTGTCTGTGTTGCCGGTGGACATTAACCCGCACGATGGCTTTGTTGAAATCCGGGTTCGTAGATTGTAGGATTGTATAATCGACATGATCCATATATCCCAGTGCATCAAAACCCTTGAAGACAAATTCAAACAAAGTTTTCAAATTCTCCGGGCTAGGAGAGGTAATGAATATATTGCTATAACCATATGCGACGGCTGCGGCAATGGCAACACCAAGTGCAGCAGATTTTCCACGGCCACGAGCAGCAGTCAAGGTGACAGTGCTCCGCAGAGTCTTTTCTGCTATGGCGTCAACAAATGTGAGAAGAGCTTTCGCCTGGTCTACCGTCTTCGCTAGAGTAACCAACGACCCAATAGGTTGTGTATCTGCCAACTTATCCTTAATCTCCTTTAGTTCCTTTTTTGTCGAGTCAGTGGACTCATTGCCAGGGTCAGCTGGGGGTAACGGCTCAACGTATTTGCCACCAGAAATTGGTAGAACATTAAGTTCATCATCTATTACCAAGCAAGATTTGCAGCTGCCAAGTGAAAGGATAAAGCGCTCATTAAAACGTGCCACCACGTCACCGTGGGCCTCCGTCCGGTATCTGGAATGGACATCCATGGATAGAGTGTACAGCTGTTTTAAGCTCTTCATTCCCTTCAACAGCAGTATGACAAGTCCCCCACCTTCAACGGTTTCAATAGTCTTCGCCAGTAGATTTGGTGTAAGCGCCTCAAAGTCCTGCAGTACACACATTCCATATGTGTTTCCCAAAATTTTGTCTGTTTCCTTGTAGTACACATAGCGAATTTGCTGAAGGGTTACAAACAACTCGAAAGGGTCCTCAGTGTTTGGATCTCGAATTCCTCTCTTGATTTCTTTCTTGATCTTTGCCTCGCGTTTCTTCCGGTGGCTAGTAAACCCAAGCAGATCCTTCTTGTAAGCCCAAAGCACCGACTTATTCTGTTTGACGTCGACGCTCGACATTATATGGTGGAGATGGACGATAACATCTTTTGCGCGGTCACCAACGACTACGAAAAAGCTTCTTTTCTTCTCTTGTATGCCATTTCGAATCAAGGAGGTGATCCTTGAATCGATTGCTTTCCGTGGCATGGCTCTGAGGGAACGAACGCGAGGACGCGGGTGCTGGGAGACAAGGAGGGCGCTTGGTCAAAGTTCATGAACGCATTGGTGCAATTGCTGGGTTTCTATCATATGAATCTGGTTCCAGGCATTCACATGAGTTTTGGTAGCGGGCCATCAAAAATATAATTTGACGCTCACTCCTCTGCGCATACAAAAAAAAAATATTGAGGTAACTTTGCCGGATAAAATTCCTCCTTGTCAAGCTACCCATAAAAGGTAATTTATGCCGGTGTCAGTACATCACATGACTAACCCTAATTCAACTTTGGATCAAATGGCTTCAGAAGCTTGGCACACACCCCTGCGACTAGTATTGTACAGATGCTATCTATCTGGAGATCCTATTATACATAAACTTACAAAACCAAATCAATCAATCAAATCCATTATATCCATGAATCTATCATTCTATTCTTCATATCAATCTGTCCTTCTGTACCGTAGGCCCCAGCTGATGGGCGCTGCTTACTAGTAGTTAAGTATAGGTGTTGGTCGCGACGAGCAGGAAGCCAGCCGTCTTATGGCCTTCTGGCCTAGGTGGTGGTTCGCACTGTATTGCCCCAGTCTGTGCTTGATCATTACACCTTCCATTCTTCACCCTTTCAGTATCCATGAAGCTTTGATTTGCGATAACTAGTACTAGTATTGATGTTGAAGAAGTTCTTTACTAGTAGTGGTGGCAGTTAGTGAGGAAGACAAGAGTATTCTTGACGGTACATCTCATCCTGGCCATCTCGTGGTGGTTCTGATGATGATCTTTATAATGATTTTCACTGACATTATGGTGGTTCTTGGGGAGGTTCTTGCGGTAGATGAAGGAAATAGCAATGACAGCGACAGCAGCGGCAGTGACTTACATACTAGTACTCCGTAGTCAGTAGATTCATCAAATCATACCTTTGCTTGACAATATCCTTTCAATCCCATATTGATACAGAATCAGCGTTTCCACCCAGTTTTTGTATGAGCCTTTTCATCATTTGGTCCTGCTTTTCCATGTGTTGGATCCATCATCATTCCCATCAAGATGTAGATACTAGTATCATTCATTTGATCTGATTCACTTCTAGATTCAGAGATAGACATTTCTTGCCTATATCCATATCCATTTCCATATCTCAGGTTCTTGCTGAATCATTCTCCCCCACTTCAATCAATCTTTCGTACTCCTCCCTCAATGGCAATCGAGACTCTCTTGACCTCTCATCAGA